TATGGGTTTTGCTATTAGTTGCCAGGCTGTTAGGCTTTGAAGATGTTTTAAGAGGGACGCTGCTGCCTATCTCTTGCCCTCCTTTAGTCGCCTCTTACGACACCCACGGGAAAAGTAGGGGTAGCCTATTATATGCCTAGACCATTGCCGAGTAGGCAAGGCATTACGAGTGAGTTCAATTGAAATAGACTAATGGACAGATATTCATTATTATTCTTTCTAAAAGATTACAATAAAATCTTGTCAAATAGGGAGACAGATAGATACTTACTTGGGGCAATAAAGTGTAATATTATATTTAATTAATTAGACATTCGAAATGTGGATATGGAGGAGAATGGAAAGGATAAATTGGACAGAAAAAGTAAGTCTCGAAAAGGACGAATGAGAAAAGAACATTAATATAAACAATAGAGAATAGAAAAGGCAAAATGCTGGACTATCTTATCATGACGATTTTTTAAAGAGCATAGTAGAAAGAAAATTAGAGGGCAAAAGTGGTAGGAGAAGACCGAGAAATAACTATATGGGACAGATAAAGGAAGCACTAAGTGTCATGTCGTATAAGAAGGTCAAAGATGCCTCGAAAGAGGCCTGGAATAGACTTGGCTGGAAGAGAATGCATGAATTAGTTTCGTCGACAAATGGAAACTATTATATTAAATAGAAAAAACATTATATGATGATAATTATTAAGTGCGGAACCCTAAAAACAGTTGAGCAATACAGTAGCAGTTAATGAGACAGACGTGTCATTATGTGACGTCGAGTACAAAAGCGTTAATTTGTGGCATAAAAAAGTACAATGTCTTTTTTATCTGCGGTTGTGTTGTAGTGAGATTCTCCGTAGTGCTGTAAAAGGTATCTAGAATAAATTTGAAGTCCATTTTTTTAAATTAATTGATTTTATAGTGTGATTCTCTTGTGACTCTTGTTTGTTCAGAAGACTCTTAAAAAATAAATTTTGTGTTTATTATATACTAATACATGGTGTTACTATATAATACTATGTCAAATAAATACTAAAGATTATACCAGAGTGAGCACTAGAATTAAATAATGGACCATATTTTTTTTTAAAGTTTCTAGCAAAAATTGACTTAAAGAAAATTTATATGTAAAATATATTAATGGAAATATTAAAAAAAAATTGTTTAACTTAATATTTTCTTGTATTATTTTATTTTTTAAGTACTAGGACGGCTTATTTAGGTATGCGATTTATTTTTTATTATTTCTTTTTTTTTGGTAAATATTCTACTGTTCCTAATCCTTATATTTTGAAAGGAACAATAAATAAACAGTATTTCTCTGATTAATTCGCGTAAGAAAAATAATTCATCGACTGTCTGTAATAAACACAGGAACAATAATAAATGAAAAAAAGTCCAATTCTCTCTAATTTATTTAAAAATTATTTTACAAAAAAAAAATAATATGAATTCCCCGGCCGACTGTACTTAATCAGTTTAAAAGGCCGAGTCGGATGCGATTAGTCGCCGTGTCCCCGGCCCACGTCGGCAGCGGGCAATGTTTGTGTGACGTATGTAACTCATTAGCTGCCCTTGTCATTAAGTCTGACGGGTGACATGATAAAATGACCAACTTTAATATTATGCAAATGTCTTTAGGGTGACCGCTTGTTCTAATATTAATGACCACCGTAGCTTGTAACGTGGCAGGTACGTGCCTCTACGTTAATGAGGTTCAATTTCTGGTTAATGAAGTTTAAGAAAACACATCAATAAGTATCAGTTAATTTATTAAGAGTTAGCACGTTAATTCTTAACGTCACATTGCACGTTAGCTAGCAGCTTAGATAATGATTATAAAATTTTGACAAATACGATTAAATAATTATAAAGTTTGACAAAATGCATTTAGATGTTGACTAAATTTGACAAAATGCATTTAGATGTTGACTAAGTTTGACAAAATGCATTTAGATGTTGACTAAGTTTGACAAATATACATTTAGATGTTGACTAAGTTTGACAAATATACATTTAGATGTTGACTAAGTTTGACAAAATACATTTAGATGTTGACTAAGTTTGACAAAATACATTTAGATGTTGACTAAGTTTGACAAAATACATTTAGATGTTGACTAAGTTTGACAAATGCATTTAAATAATGGCAAAGTTTGTTATATGATTTTTTGAAATAGTTGAAAATTGTTTGAAATAGTCATAGATATGTACTCACTGACTGGTATAGGAAACAACCTATGTCTTTTTCCATTCCATATAGTACGTGTATAGCAAATTTCATAGTAATTGGTTAAGCTGTTTTATTAAGAAGTAACAAACAAATAAACAAACTAACTTTTATATTTATAATAATAATAGTAACAAGGATCATTTCCATTCAAGAAAAAATTACTTCCTTAAAAATTACAATTATAGTTGTTCAACATTTTTGTTTACTATTAAAACACGATTAATCAATCACGTGGCTTGCATTTTTTAATACATAATACCCTATAATCCGAGGAGAACCTGGGGCGATCCGTCTTGAGGGCCGGAATGGACTCGTGAGCCCGTTATTAACTCACCAATGCGTACTCGAAGGATAATTAAAAATAACGTACGCTTTCACTTAAATATTAATTATGACTTGAGAAATTACGCCCCTTTTAGTGATGTGAGCATAGTATTTCAGTGGGACGTACCTTCACGCCCATTGCGAGAGTTCACTGTGTCACGGCAGACAAGTTTTCTTTTTTTTTTTGACAACTGACTTTTATATGCAGATTCTCAATACGATTGTACTTTTTTTATGTTCGTTACCTCATATTTCCGACGGTTGTAAACGGATTTGGAAAATATTTTCTTTATCTGTAAGAGTATACTTACAGATCGGTCATATAGAATTTTTATTAAATTCGGTACAGTAGTTTCATTTTTAAATCAAAATAACTTGTTTTGCTACAACAGAAGTCGGATTTTTAAAGGAATATAGTCTTAAATTATGGATATAACACGTTTTCTCTTCTATAAACTAGTTTTTTCCTAAATGCCTTTGTCGCAAATATAATTTACTGATGCATCAAAAATAAATACCAATTAAAAATAGTTTTAACTAAATCTTATTTAGTTAAAACTATTTCGACTGAAGAGTATTTTGAAGTTGGTTGAAAAACGAGTATTAATATTTTAAATACACTATCGGAATTTAACGCGATGAAAAGTTTTTACATGTAAATAATACCTACATACCTGTTTATTTATCGCCTACATTTAAAAGCAGGTATGTAGGTACTATTTAGCTGCAAAAAATACTCATCGCGCTGTTCTGATAGTGTAATTAGAATATGTGTAAATGACGCAGTTTAAAATTAATTAATTAATTATTATATTTTAAATTTAATTATTAATTAACTTCAATGTATAAATATAAAATCATAAATAATATAAAAACGTTATTATCGGATGTGTATTAAATGGAAACGCGCATTCCCGTACCAAAACGTTCCATCCATCAACGTACTGTTTTTTGTTTCAATAAAATTGAATTTTCTCCGAAGACGAATGTATTGGTATACGAATTAAGTTATTATATATGATATTTCTTGTCACGTAATATTTAGTGGTCACATAACGCCAAATATGGCGTGTAATATGTATTGAGCATCACTATATGTGGATGCTGGTTGAATTATAGTAATAATATATATATTAATAATACATTCGATGAATTTATTGAATACAAATGATGGCGTGTACCAATGAATTTTATATAAGAGATTTTATATGTCGACGGGTTTACTTCATAATGTTTATTTTTCAAGTTGTTGGTTTATGTTTAATGCAGAAAAATGATTACTTATTTATAGACAGTTCTGTAGATAATTCTAATGTAATTGTTGATTGAAATATGCAATACTAGTTCTTCCCGCGTGTACGGGAACGTGAAAGAGTAAGAAATATCCATGTGTTTGGTACACTGGTAGGTTTTACCTAACTTAGCATATATTTATTTATTTATTTAATAAGGTTCACATACAACTTTTACATTTTACATGCTACTTAATTAATAACACAAAAAATATTTTTGCCTAATATAAAAAGTCTTTTACAGGCGAACACCACATGCACTATTGTAATATTTAATAATTATTAACAATGACAATAACAATATCTGAATAATAAGTAGATTAAGAACTTATGTCTAAAATTTTCCTCAATAAGTTACATCTGCTATTGATGGATCCAAAATTGATGTCAATTTGATCGATGTGAGCGTTCATATAGGATACATAATATACTAAATAGACGAGAGAAGCCTTTACGTTTCTCTTTACGTCTTATGTTAGGATCACCTCACGATATATACATGTATATACCGAATTGGTCTTATAGAAATTATATCACAATCACTTCAGTAATTTAATTTTTAAATAAAATAAAAAATTTTTATACCACTGAGGTGGCAAACAAGCATACGGCCCACCTGATGGTAAGCGGTTACCGTAGCCTATGAACGCCTGCAATACCAGAGGTATTACGCGCCGACCCTAAAGAAACCTCTTTACCCCCTTTTGAAGAACCCCATGCTGTAGTCTCTTGGGAAAACCTCGGCAGGGAGCTCATTCCATAACCTGAGTGTTCGTGGGAGAAAACATCTCTGAAACCGCGCAATACGCGACCATTTAAAAGTTTCTTTTTATTATATGGGACGCAGTCTTAAATTATATATATACTTGTTTATTATTTTTATTATGGTGAAAATAAATATTTATTTGTTTTATTTATTTAACTCTTTGTTGCACCAAAAACATAAAAATAGGCAATAACATATAAACAATTCAAATGAAATACAGTAGTTTAAAATACAGATTAAAATATACACGTAAAGGTACAAAAGGCGGTCTTATCGCTAGGGCAACCTCTTACAGACAACCTTTGGTTAAAGGAGAACAGATAGAAGTGGGTAGGTGGCGCAAGAGTGAATTAATATTTTTTACGTTTTAAAAAGAAAATATTTATTTGTTCTAGATAACAACGAGGACAGTCACCGCAATCAGATCGACCAGAAGTCGTACCAGTGGCTGGGAGCCACCCTCAGCAGCAGCGGTAGCAACGGTCCCATTGTGGTAAGTTCACCTTTAAAACACTACTGGAACTTAGAAGAAAAAAAATTAAGTAAAAGAAGTTATAACCCCGCTTGTACAATCGCTGCACGCTGGTGGGGTACTAGTGAGTGATGATCAGAATTGAGTCAGGTCAGTTGGAACGTCATAATGAATTAGCCATGATGACTTGGGGGGGGGATTAATGGGGATGTTACTAACGATGTTATAACATATTCCAGTTACTAACAATTCCCAAAACTAATTAGGTAGACATTCATTAATTAAACAAGCTTAAAGTCTCACGTAGAAGGGTAAAAAGAAAGCAGGGGTAAGAGGGGGGGGGGGGGAGTAATTGTATGTCATATGAATTTTATAGCTTTTAAAGCCGCATGTCTTTCTTTGCGAAGTAAAATCCTGATTGATGGGAATTAACATGTAATTTTATCTCGTTTAGGTACGCTTTCTAAAATTTATTATTTTAAATATATTGCGTTTACGTACTCTTTCTCTGTTGATCGATGTGTCTTGTTCATTTTAAATTAAGTGGAATTTGTTTCACAAAAAAATACAGATTTTATCGTTGCAAAACTAGTTATTAATATTATAAAACTAAATATTCTGGGATAAAGGGATTGTTAGTAATGGGGTCTAACTGACCCATTGCTAACAATACACCTTATCAGGTCGACCTCCTCGCGGTTCCCCTTGGAAACTATCGTGGTAAATTTAAGTGGAATTTGTCATGATGGGCTAACTGACCTGCTTTCATCGTCATCTATCATCGCTCACTGGTGACCCGCCAGCGTATTACGACAACGCGGGCGGGGTTGCCATTCCATTATCACCCATTAAAAAAACAAACTAAAGTACTAATAAAAATTCCTGTAGGATCTATCTGAAAGTACTTTTATCTTTGCAAATAAAAAATTGGATAACTGACGGAGTTATGAGGTGACAAACATAAAAAAATACTACCGAAGATCGTCTTCCTTTTTCAACCAGCTTTAAAAATTAGGATGTTCCCAATTTTGTTGTTGTTTTTATGTTTTTTAAGATTTTTTCTTGTCTGAAAGGAAATACCTACATATTGGTACAGTAGAAATTTTATTAAATTCCATTTTATAATTTAGTTTTTATATATATAAAATAACTGATTTTATCACATTTCAAGTCGGTTTTTTTGTGTTTAATTATTTAAAGTTGGTCGCAAGTTAGTGTTAGGGTAAGAGCGTCTCAAGCGAGCACGACAAACCGGGCTGCCCTGATGGGTGTAGCAGGAAGGGTGTGCCAAGACGAGCCGTGAACTATATGGGTCATTGTTAGAGCTCGCGTGACGTCACCGCCATACGCCAACACATAAAGCCGAGAAAGACGTATTAAGGCTAACAATTGTTAGTAATATAGATAGATAGATGCTCTTTATTGTTTCCTCCAAAAGATTACAATAGTAAACTTATTATAAATATAAACAATTACAAGAAATAATCACAATGAGAAAACAATGGGCGACCTTATCGCTAAGAGCGATCTCGTCCAGGCTACCTTTGGATGGAGAGGAGTAATTATAAACAATTTGGTGGGAGGCACGATGAAAAATTCTGTTAGTTCTAAATATGGGAGATGTGATACATGTAATAATATAAATATAATACAATTATAACTAAATGACATCTGTACTTCGATCTTAATAAGATCAATAGACTTTGTACAAAAGTCGTTTGCTCGGGTACTTCTGTCCCATTTGTGTTTCTATCGTATAGCAGTTTAGCAGGCAAAAAGTTAGTAACGAATATATGACGTAATATATACAAAAAAAAGTAGGTAGTATTTATAATACATACGAATCGAAATCCTTCTCTTTTTGGAAGTTCAAAGACATTATTTATATGAATATATCGAATATTACTATATTTTTCCTCTATTCAATAATGCACCGTCTACTTATTTCTCGGTTCGCCCAATGGTTGACTGGTAGAGAACACCGTCCGGTGTTAAGTCCACCAAATGTACATAGACATTTTACAGTGCATTAAAGTTTAAATAAATAACTTTATTATAAGTGCTTAATCTCAGTTTGGTTGTTGGAGATAGCACTTGAGTTCAATAAGAGAGAGAGCTCTGTGCCTCTGTCTTGATGTTACGTCAAATAAATTATAGGATAGGGGGAAAGGGATTATTAGTAATGGAGACTGAGAATCCCATTGCTAACAATATACCCAACCAGGTCGACCTCCTCGCAGTTCTCCCTGGAAACTATCATGGTTAGTTCCTGATGAATTCATCATGATGGGCTAACTGAACTGTTTTCATTCTCATCTATCACCCTTCACTGGTGCTCCGCTAGCGTATCCGGTTAGCGCAGGCGGGGTTACCATACCATTTTCATACATCAAAAAAAAAAAATTATTAGACAAAAAGTGTGGTGTAATTCCTATTGAGTCGTTGGCTCACAGTTGTCTCTCAGCTGAACGCTCATATCCGCTAGTATCGCGTTTCATTCATAAATATTTATTTCATAAAGCCATATTCACTTTATTACCGGATAACATCCGAGAACAAACAATTTAATATTAAATTAATCTTCAAACGTTAATAATATTAACGATTTAAAATTTTTCTGACTAATGTATTATACAATTTACCAGAGGGAGACTTTGTACAAAGTTTGTTTGCTTGGGTACCTCTGTCCCATTCGTGTTTCAATCGTAAAGCAGTTGTGTTTGTATGGCTGTATTTCGGTTTGAAGGGTGAGATTTCGCAGTGAATTTACAGGGTACAGAGAAATAACACATGAGGACTCACCTCAGGAATGGCAACGCATGGAGGGTATCATGTGCGAAACAGTATACTCTGTCATGTTAATGGTACTGCTCACGTCTATAGGCGACGGTTACCACGTTCCATCAGTTGGACCGTCAGCTTGTGTCAGCATTCAGTAGTTTTTGCGTGAAAGAGTAACAAATAACCGTCAATCGTTAGAAGATTTTAGCATTCCTAATATTAAAATCGTGTAACGTGTTTTTTTTTAAAAAAAAACATTAACAATTTTCTGTTTTTGGAAACTGTTTAAAAATATATTAAAATAATCGATACTACAATAATATAACCTTAAAACAACAAGGCGAACAGATTTCATTAACAGGAGAACAATACCGGGCCATTAATTCCACTAGGGTGGCTAAAATGGCCCGTTGACATTTGCAATTGGGTCGAACCCGTCATAATGGAGCTGTATTGGGTCACCAGGCCGCCAGATAGTGCCTCGGGCTGGGGTTACCCAGTTAGACGTCGATAAACCCGATTGACAAATTGCGTCCCATATGGATAATGTCTGATAGGCCGGTTGGGACGTTTCTACGTACTCAACTTGATTGATTTTTGATTAGGTTCGATTTGATTTAATATATATATTCTTTATTGCACTAAAACATACAGTAACAACAATAAGTTAATAACAATGTTAGCAAAGGCGAACTTATCTCTAAAAGAGATTTCTTCCAGTCAACCTAACACATTGGCATAGGAAGTAGTGAGTGTATATATATATATATATATATATATATATATATATATATATATATATATATATATATATATATATATATATATATATATATATATATATATATATATATATATATATATATATAGATAGATAGATAGGTGAGGATGAAGTAGATCAGTTAGCCCATAGTGACGAATTCAACAAGAATTGTTCACGATGGTTTCCAGGGGGAACCACGTGGAGGTCGTCCTACTAGGGCATATTGCTAGCAATGGGGCTGTCAAACTCCATTGCCAACAATCCCTTCATAATTTACTTTTCCCCCCTTCATAATTATATTGTTACTTATATAATAATGCCGCCCCTTCCCTTCCCGTGGCTGTCGTAAGAGGCAACTAATGGTAAAGGAACTGGTAGCAGGGTTCTCCTTAAAACATCTCTAAAAGCCTAACTGCGGTTGTCAATCCACCTGCCAAGCGTGGCAACTATCTATGTATTAATTTTAAATTCGACGATGCTCGAGTAGTTTCAACAGTGCACTGGTCGCACAGTACAACCGTGAACCGCGCTCATTAATAAAGGTTCCTATTTAGAAATAATAGAATTTTCATCGTGCATCCGATCAAACTGTTTATAATTACTCCTCTCCATCCAGTCATGCAAATATAAATGCTTTAGGATAGAAACAAGAATGGGACAGTGGTACCCGAACAACTTTTGTACAACGTCTATTGATCTTATTAAGGTACTTTATATCAATTTTCGTCTAATATTTTCCAAGTATAGATGTCATTTAGTTATAATTGTATTATATTTATATTATTACATGTATCACATCTCCATATTTAGAACAAACACAATTTTTCATCGTGCCTCCCACCAAATTGTTTATAATTACTCCTCTCCATCCAAAGGTTGCCTGGAAGAGATCGCTTTTAGCGATAAGGTCGCCCATTATTTTCTCATTGTGATTATTTCTTGTAATTGTTTATATCTATAATAAGTTTACTATTGTAATCTTTTGGAGGAAACAATAAAGAGTATCTATCTATTTATCTATTGAGTACAAAACTAGTCAAAAACGTGAGTACAGCCAATATAAATAATTACACTATATATTGAAATATTTTTAAAAAGTTTTAACAATGAAAAATCGATTTTAATTTTAAGGATAAAGAATCCATATTCATGTGTAAAAAGATCTTGTTGATTCAGTCAAGCGCAATAATAATTCTTTTTCCATGGCAAAAACGAGTCGATCATCTTTATTCTAAACGCATAGCATTCCTAAAATAGCTAATAGCTAATTTTTATTACAGCCTCTATCTTATTTCTCACTAGCTATTCATCAGCAGCTATCATCGACGCTGCATGACTTTTTGCGTTCCCCTGTGATCGCATGTCGAGGGCTCGCCGGCTTTCAGATGCATTGTTTTTACCTTTCCACTTATGGAGTTGGAATTTTTATTTCGGAATGCCGAATTAGTGCAAAAAGCGGTCGCTCTCAGGCTGTCCA